GAACTCCGTGTGAGTGTGTGTGGTTTTGAACAAATGGCTTCCGCTACTTCTATTTGAACTCGTTTTGTAATAACTATGTTTAAACTCTGATGTATCTGTGATGCGAACTTTTATATAATATGTGATGGTGACCGCTAAACTTATTACGATCTTGGCTAGTATGTGAGTTGGTTTGAAATCCTTCGTGATTTCATGGACTACCGGGTTATACGGACTTAAGTTTGCTAAATCGTCTGCTCTGGTGGATGATTTTCTTACTTAATTTCGTATAATTGGTCGGTTCTGTTACAGTGAATAGCCTATAAAAATTTCTACAACAACACTACGCAAAGCGGTTAGACAAATATGAGAAGAAACGAATGTTGCGCTAGGCTACTAAGAATGCAAGCTACCTACCACAATTCTAGTTGCTATTGTCTATAAGCATTCAAAGGCTATGATGTCACTACACTAAATTAGTGAACTTTCAAAGACTAACTAAAGAGTCTTACTAACAATTAGACATGACTCTGGCTTGCCATCAAAACTAGCTACACTAAAGGGCCAAACTACACTAAGAAATGTAAATGCGCGGGAAGGATGGAGTGTTATACCATCGTATAGAGGAATGAGCCAATCACCAAAGGAGCCAATCAATCACAAGAATGAATATCAATGAAGACCAATCAGCTCGGACTCAAATGATGACACAATGATTTTTTACCGAGGTTCACTTGCTTGCCAGCAAGTTAGTCCTCGTTGTGGTGATTCACTCACTTAGAAGTTCACGTGCTAATTGGCATCACCCACCAAATCCTCAATAGGGTGCCACAAAACCAACACAAGATGAGGATCACACAAGCCACGCGCAATCTACCATAGTTGCCTTTCGTGATCTCCCATGAGGAAGGCATAAGAACCCCTCACAATGTCGACGATCGAGCCGGCAACAATCACCAATAGCCGCTCAACGATCCACCAATCACCGGGCCATCTAGGTGTTGGCAAACACTAAGAGTAACAAGAACTCCACCAGCCTATATCGCCCAACTAGTGCCACAAGATGCTAGAACACTAAGCAATGCACTAGAGGCTCTCCAATCTCACTCAAGATGATGAAATCAAGTGTGCAAGTGAGTGGAGTGATGTGCTCAACTCTCAAAGGGTGTATACAACTGTTAGAAGTGCCAAGAGAGAGTGGCCAAAGATGATCACTAGCTCTATTTATAGGCCCATAAGCAAATAGAGTCGTTACCCCTTTGAGTCAGCTTCTACGAGGTCACCCGACATGTTGGTGTGGCATCGAACATGGGGTGGCGGTGCCCCTCCAACGGTCATCCAATGGCTAGTGGGCACCGGACAAGCGGCGGTGGCATCAGACAGGGGGTGGCGGTGCCACCCCGGCCAACACCCCAAAAATCATGCTCTCTGGAAAAATGGGCGGTGCACCGCCATGGGGTGGCGGTGACTGCGGCGGTGCCCAATTCTAGAATCCCCGCTCTCTGTTGAAAAGGTGGTGCCACCGGACAGGGGTGGCGGTGCCCCCAGCGGTGCACCGTCGCACCTAGGGGCGGTGTACATCGTCACTGGCGGTGCCAAGCTCCAGCCCTTCTTGGCCACGTCCAGGTGGGCACCGCCCTAGGGGTGGCGGTGCCCCCTAGAACACCTCCCTCTCAGCCTCCTCTGTCGGTCACTGCCACAAGGGTGGCGGTGCCCTCGGGGCAGCAACACAAGCCCGGCTACGCCTCCTTTTCTTCACCTTTTTTCACCACCTTTGTAAATGTGCTAACACTCCAAGTGTTCACCATCACGTGCAAATGTGTAAGCATTTTCACAAATATTTTTCAAAGGTTATTCACTTATCACCGATTGTGCATTAGGCTTAAAATGCAATGTAAGTATTTCAACACCTAGTGGCACTAGATGATCGAGTTGTCTGATAAGAGCTCCCCTCTTAATAGTACGATCATCTATCCTAAATGTGATCACACTCTCTATAGTGTCTCGATCACCGAAAACAAAATGGTCCTATGGATATCACCTTTGCCTTGAGCCCATTTTATTTTTTCTCTTTCTTCTTTTCTAAGTCCAGAGTTTGATCACCTTTATCACATGTCCACCACCAACACCATGGACTTCATCTTGCTCCACCACTTGGATTGGACCATCCTATCTAGTCACACACTTAGATGCAAGGATTAGTCCAAATAGGTTTCATCAATTAGCCAAAACCAAACTACGGCTTTTCACTTGTACTGTTCATCTTATGGAGAGGACGAAGGAACAAACCTACCGTAGATTCACATCAAGAAGCATTCGACGGGTACGTCCAGCTCACAGCGTCGCGCTGCTAGCATGCCTACGTCATCCGCCTGGCCCGCCGCTGGCGCCTTTCGCTCCCTGGAGCGCCGCCTGGGGACGTCGCGTCAGGGTCGCTGTGGGAGGGGCCCCGTCGGGGCTGGCGCGCCCGAGCCCCGCGCCCCCGCTGGGGTGGCCGCAGCTGCCGTGCCCGTGCCCCCGCCTGCTCCGAGGTGGCCGGAGCCGCCACGCCCGCACCCCCGCTCGAGCCATGGTCGTCGGGGCCACCGCGCCCGCACCCCTGCCCGGGCCGGGAACGCCGCGCCCGCGCCGGGAGGTGCGGGAGTCGAGGGCGAGGGGAGCAGCAAAGGATCGGCCCGCGAATGTTCGTGTTGGTTCGGGTTGATGATAAAGCGGGTACAAGACCCAACCGACCCGTAATCCGACAGACCAGATCGCTTGCTCGCCCGATCTGACGTCTCGCGGCTTAGCGGGCGACGTGCCATGATGGTTTGCCACCCTTTGGTGCACGAATCCTATATAGAGATAAGAATGAAACTGCAGCAGGAATGGTTCTAGAAGGGGAACGAGTGAAGATCCAGGTGGTTTGGTTTCGTATGTCAAGAGACCAAGAAGCAAACCGGGCCGTATATCACACACAATGTTCAAGATGGGCCAGATTCCATTCCAGGCAAATCTTAACCGAACGACAATTCTTTGTTGGGCGATTTTCGTTCCAGGCCGTTCTGATCCGGGGGGATTGGGTCTTGTTCCGGAGCCGATCCAAGAGAAACGACCGAGGCCTTACCCGTACCACTTTCCTGCTTTCTATGTTGTGGGTTGTAGTGGCATAAATTTCTTCCGTGTCCCGTGCAATACATCATACTGTTTTGGGCCCGAGTCGGTCGAAATGCAACAAGCAACTGATGTCAACATTGATCGGCTGAGCAGAGTAATCACCTGGTCAAACTCTTTATTATATATCGATAAATAAATAAAATAAAAATAGTGCTAACTCTAAGGGCCGCAGAAGAAACAAAAAGTCAAAAGTCCGGTATTTCAAGGGAGTTGGGCCTGGACTGGTTTAAAATACAGCCCAGCATGATTCGACCTGAAGTTGAAGCCCAGATTTGACCTGCAAACGTTCATGACGGCCCAATCTGATGCGATCCAAATTTGACCATTCCGTCGGCTCTCACTTCTCCTAGTCGCGCGGATCCAGCTGCTTAGGCATTTGTTCGCTCGTCTTACGAGAAAAAAAAAAAACAAAAAAACAGTATTTTTCTCTTATAATAAATTAGCTATGACTTTTCAGCGAAGTGAACGGGGGCATTGGGTGGGCTGGCGGCTGGTTAAAGCTTTTGTTTCCTTGCCCATCTTGCTGGCGAGGATCGGTGCATTCAGCCAGGACACGGATCTGGGCTCCCATCGATCAAGAGCGAGCCGTCCATCATCTGCACTCAACCAGGAGCCTCGAGCACCGGCCGACATGGCAGCGCCCAACAACAGGGAGACGAGGGCGGTGCTGATCGACGTGGAAGTAACGAGTCCACAATTCCACATCCGTCATGGCCCGAGGGGACTGGGGAGCAGCCGAGCAGCCGTGTCGGGCACCAACCAGCCAAGCCCTGCGCGTCACCTCGTTTCATATTCGCGGCTGCCAGGGCGACGGACGCCGACACGAGACGCCATGGATCTAGCCTTAGCTTCGTCCGGCTTAAACAATGGGAGCCCGGTCGCCTGGCGCATGTGACGGTCGCGGCGTTCCGATCTGTTTTGTACTCCTACATGGGGATGAGGGGGTTGAACTGATATAAACCGATGATATCCGTGGCGTGGCGAGCCTGGCTGCTGGTCAAGCCGAGCGTTTACAATGACGTGCGGCGCACTGGTGCCTCGTGCGAAAGCCGCGTCCAGCAGGTCGTTGCCGCAAGCAGGTCAACAGCAGGTAATAGCTACCCCGGTAGTGCCGGGCTGCCGGCCATGGCTTGGATGCCTGGTTCGTGCGTACGTCTGGATTGGATTGAATTTCAAAACCCGGTTTGCGATTCATCGAAATTCCAAACTGGAAGTTGCGATTTCAAACATGGCTTGGAGAATCATCATGTGCGGGTTAATTTGGCTTTGGCACACTGAGATGTATGTATGTGCGTTGCTGTCTTCACGAGGCCACGGGAAACCGCATCTCCCTTAGACCCTTACACCCACGTCGTTGTAGTGTGCACCACATGACGACTGACAAATCCTACATGCGTGGCAACGCTGAAATGCACATGGTACCGCTTGCCAACAACGAAGGGGGAGCTCCTTCAGGTCTTTCCGGAACAAGGCGCGGCGTGGATGTGCGAGTAGAAAAGGCCAGGAGGAATCAGTAATCCGCACCGACTCACCGAACACACGCCGTCCATCCACCAAGAGCAAGCCGCCGGTGCGTGCTCCCTGCAACAGCACAGCTGCAGTGCTGCACTGCACAGGCGTCGTCCAGCTATGTCCTCGCAGGCGCGCATCCGTCACCAGAGAAGCATGTCCCCGGCAAGGGGCAGAGGTGACACGGGCTGGGACCCGACAGCACGTGATGTGCTCGTCTCTTCATTCACAGGGCGCCTGCGAGCTCCGAGGAGATAAAAATTTGTTCTGCTAAACTAATCCAGCATTCCTGAGGACTGAGGCCTCTCAAACCGTGACAACAACCGGCAAACAAGGCCAAGAAACGACAATAACATTCAGGCGACAAGGCAGTACGAGGGCATCGGTGAACTGGATAATACTTTGGGGTACTGTTGCAGGCGGAGGAAGTCGTCGAGGAGCCGCTCCGCGAGGTGCGGCCACCGCCCCAGGCGGCGCAGCGGCTCCTGCGCCTGCGGGTGGTGCAGCAGCTCCGAGAGCGAGACGAGTACGCGGCAGACCTGCGACGCCGCCGCGGACACGGACGACGCCGACGGCGGCGGCGGCGCGCCCGCGGACGGGCCGCGGGGCGGGGACGACTGGCCGATCACGAGGCGCAGCGCGGCCACGTCGTCGTCGAGCTGCAGCAGCAGCGGGTGGAAGCGGCAGGGGAGGCTGGACGAGCGGATGCGGTACGTGGCCAGCTTGTCGCTCGCGGTCTCCAGCGCGAAGGCGCCGTCGGCCGCGGGCTTCGGGGCCGGGAACGAGATGGCGCGGCGGTACCCGGCCATCATTCGTGGGTGTGTGTGTTCCACTGCCTTTTGCCGTGCCGAGTGGCGGGTCAGAGCCTCAGAGGCTGTGGGTTTTATAGGTGGAGCAGCCGGGACGGCGGGACCTGGGGGATGCGCGCGCGAGGAAGGCGTGCGCGCCGTGTTGTGTTGGCCGGCTGGAGTGGCTGCAGGGCGGCGACGGGCATCGTTTGTGCCGTTGCGAACTTGCAGTCACGGCCTGTTCCGTTCCGTTACTATGCCGTTTTCGTTCGCTTTTGAGGCTTTTTTCATCGGGGCGGGTTGGTTCCTGCCTTTCTGGGGACACGAGTGGAAGGCGGAGGAGTGGCGGACAAAGGGTCCACGGCGGAGGCCGGCACATCCGGCACTGGCACTCGATCTGCGCCGTACACTACTACACCGGCGCATCACCTGCGTGCCACTGGAGTGTCCTGTCCCGCGGCACCCAAAACTTTCCAACGATCTTTTCGCGAATAAATAGTAAGCGATGAGCCCTGCCCACTCATTGCTTGCTCGTGAGTAGTAGCTAGCTTGTCATATGACATTATTAGCCTTTTTTTTTTTTTTGCTTACCAGAAGTGAAGATTTGCTGCGTAGTTAGCACTCATAAATTAACACTATGACGTTAGCAGCAGCTGCGTACATCGACAAAAACTAATCAGGCATTCATGCTCATGCAATGGTCAGCAGCACGGTTGCACCAACCCAGCAAAACTTGGACGCCCGTCAACCTCACCACCACGAATGATAGAGCTAAACAAATATAACAGCAAAAAACTTCATCTTAAGTCAAGCATCCCCCCTCACCCGCATGACCAAATCAAATACTCTCTTCTTCTTAAAATATACTCCCTCATTTCCAAATTATAAGTCGTTTGAACTTTTTTGGTACATCGATTTTGCTATGCATTTAGATATAATAACACGTTTACATATGTAGCAAAATGGATGAATCAAAAAAAGTCAAAAGCGATTTATAATTTAGAACGGAGAGGAAGTAGTGGAGTTTAAATTATCCTAAGTAAAACTATTCTAAGTTTAACCAAGTTTTTATCAAAAAACTTAATGCTTATGATATTAATTTCGACATCATAAGATACATTATTAAATACACTTTTATAGTTTACCACTTTGTTGCTACAAATGTTAATATTTTTTTAATAAACTTGATCAATCTTAAAGTGTGGTTCCATTTAGAACAAACTAAAATATATTATAGGAAAATTTTACTGCAGGAAATAGTTAAAATGCATAATATGTTGATGGACACAGCTCGGAAGTGTAATTTGCTCGGTACCATTACGAAATTGTGTCCATTTGCCATAACGCACTGCATCGAATATTTTATTTATTTTTAGATTCAGACAGAGAAGATTGGGAAAATAACTCTTTTGCCCTCGTCTTCAACGTCTGGCTGCTCACTAGTTTTTGCTGTAACACACCGCCCCTGTGACGACTGGGCGCCGCCGCCCCTTCGACATGGCCGGACGGGCAGATGTTGCCGAAGGAGAGCGCATACGCATCGGTGAGCATGTCCCACGCCACGACGGCGAAGAACGGGTGGGCACTCCCGAGCCTCCTCCTTGGGTCCTGCTCCAGCAGGCTCCGGTTGTCCCCTGGGAACTCGAGCGCGGAGGACGTGGAGGGCGATGCCGGCGAGAGATGGGCTGCGGGGGCATGGGTGAGGGCAGGCGGGGCGAGGCACGTCGGGAGCGGCCGTCGGGCTGTGGCGTGCCGCGGCGAGCGAGTCCGCCAAGTTCTGCGCCAGCCGCGTGCTCACCCAGTGCGGCGCCGTCGGCCGCGCATACGTATATGTGGCCGCGTACGGCGTATGTGTGCAAGTGGATCGATTCGCGTGCTGGCCTAGTGAGACCCCACTAGATGGGCCAAGTTGGACCGGTCTGGGCTGGGCCAAATGGCAGGCTACCGTAGGGACAGGGGCGATGTGGGGTTACTGTAGCCGAGGATTAGTAATGTGGCAGCAGAATTAATACACCTCTGGAAGCTGAAGCAGAGCTGAACCAGTTTAAAAGCCTGAGCCTGGGAGGCTGTTAACTCCGAATTGATCCTTTTGTGTGAAGCGAGGGCGAAAGCGTAAGAGAGTTAATTAGCAGGCGTGGTCCATTCAACGTGTAGAGTGGATCTTAGCCGTCATCTCGGGTCGGGGCGTTACAAATGGAATTCAGAGCCAACTCTCGCGGTTTCACGGATATATGGCTCGGGAGCTCGAACAGGTTGCGCATGGCTCTGCAAGAGCATGGCACTTGGGCCGAGGAGCTGGGAATATGGACGTGGGCCAAGAGAGTCGATCCTGGATATTTGTCTCGTTTGGGTAGATGTCGAGTCCTTAAGGGTGGGTGTATGTGAGACCCCGCTAAATGGGACAAGTTGGGCCGGTCTGATGGGCTGGGCCAAATGGCCGACTACTTTAGCGACAGGGGTGATGCGGGCTACTGTAGTCATGGAAAGTACTGTAGCAGCAGAATTAGTACCACCTCGGAAGCTTAAGCTGAGCCGAACCAGCTTAAAAGCATCAGCCTGGGAGGCTGTTAACTCCGGATCGATCATTTTGCGCGAAGCGAGGACGAAAGCGTAAGAGAGTTAATTAGCAGGCGTGGTCCATTCAACGTGTAAAGTGGATCTTAGCCGTCATCTCGGGTCGGAGCGTTACACCTAGTTCGTTCAATGGAGACCGTCGACGACGATGCTGATTGCTGCCGTGCAGGAATCGCGGGCTAAAGCTGTGCGGCGAAGTGACAGAGATGTTGAGGACCGTGGCCATGGCGTCCACGCTCGCGCGTGTCGTGTGCTGAAATTGTGCGGCGAGGTGGGTCTCGGCCACCGCGGTGGCCTTGGTGGCCCTGTGCAGGCGGCCCACCAAGACTGGTGCAATCGGCGACCGCAATGTTTTACCACAAAAATAAGTGAAAAGCTGATGGTTAAAGAAAATGACAAAGAAGACATTGTCCCCATCTCCACTCTCCTTAAAACTAAAAAATGAATAAAATAATCATTGCGGTGTCAGCTGGTAAACCACAAATTTGTAATAGGGCAAATTCTCGGCCTAGCAATGTGTGTCGGCCAATTACACGTTTTTCTAGTGTCCAATAACAAAAATTTTCTATATTATATTACGCGTCCGTGTGTATGTGTGAGAGAGAGCACGTGGTAACTTGGTAACATAAGTTACCACTCAACAAAGGATACTTTTTTTTTGACTCTGTGCTTAGGTTCTAGGCAAAAACATTGAGCTCCAAATATGGAAATTTGGCATTCAGACTTGATAGCTCAGCTTTCAGTTATAACTTGTAGATCAGAAATCAAAATCAAGTTTGAATTCAAACTTTAAGTTCCAATACACAGTTGGTGTTTAGTTATGGGTTTTCATACAGAAGGCCTTAATTAATCTATTTACAATTTGAAATTCAATTTCCTATGTTAAATTAGAAGCATGGGACTGTGAAATATCTCGTGACAAACTTGGGAAAGACTTTGGTTAGTTCGGCTAAGGTTAATTGGTCTGTTGTATAGGCGCAGCTAGCGCCTTGCCCGTGGTCGGATGCAGCCGTTCGAGCACATCCATCGCGCCCCGTCCCGTCCCCACGTAACAGACACAGGAGCGCACCCACCGCATCACCTACAACATCGTGTCCCAGCTGCGCATGGTGAAAGCCCTAGTTTTGTTTTGCCTAATTGATGAAATCCAAAGTACTAACCTTTGTCATGAGTGGTGATGTGAGCAAGGTTGGTACATACCAAGTGATGAAACAAGTGATGAAGCCCATGGAGATGAAGATGGACATGTGATGATGGTGATCAAACTCCAACTTGAAAAAGAAGAAAGAGGAAAACAAAAATCCTTTGAAGATCAAGGCAAATGTATATATAGGATTTTGTTTTGGCACTCAAGACACCATAGAGGGTGTGAGTGTGTTTAGAATAGATAGCCGTATTATTAAGAGGGGTGATCTCGCCGTAAATACGGTTGTCTAAGTGCCACTAGATGAATTAACTCCATGCATTTGCATTAGGACCTAGTGAGCGCTAACATCCCTTGAAAAACATGTTTGTGAAATGCTAACTCACATGCACAAGTGATGGAACTTGGTGGAGTTAACATATTTGCACAAGGATGAAGTTTGGAGATGAAAAGGGGGTCACTGGTTGTGATCGGACGCTGGGTCCGGTTAGTGACTCGAGATGCGGCAGAAGTAGCGAAACGACCAGACTCTAGCATTCAGGCGCGACCGGATGCGCCTGTGCCACTGTTCACTTTCAGGCACGCGTAGGCAAAAACGACCAGACACTATGTTGATGATCGGACGCTAAGGCTCGGACACGTCCAATCAAAGTTTTGGGTGCTCCCTGTTTAACAAAATAATTCATCGGACTCTGACCAAGTCCGGTCGCATGGACCGGACGTGTCCGATCACGGTTGAGCACCTCTGGGAGCTCTCTGGATGCTGATCGGACGCAGGGCTTGGGCGAGTCCGGTTAGTGATCGTTGCGTCCGGTGCAAAGACAGCGTGAGCGCGTACGCGGAGTTGTTTGGCGTCAACGGTTATTTCAAACGGCTAGTGATAGTGGCACGTGGGCTGTGACAGGATGCGTCCGGTTGCCTTGAACAGCGCGTCCGATCAACGCGTGGAAGTTGGGGTGAATGGCCAATGGCTATTTGTGCCATGGGGGCTCTATAAATATGGCTTGGCCGTCTCTTGCTCACTCTCTTGGCTCTCTAACTCATTGATACATCTTGTGAGCATACTCAAACACCTCCCACTCATCTAGCTCTTGATTTGTTCATCCAAGTTGAGATTGGGAATGATCTTACTGCATTTGCTTAGAGTTTGGGCATCTAGTGGCACTAGTGATCATGTGAGCTGCAGGATTTTCTTGTTACTCTTGGTGGTTGCCTCCACCTAGATGTCTTGGATCAGCTTAAGGAGGTTGGCATGAGTTGGTGATTGTTCGTGGTCATCTCTCGGTGGATTTGTGAGGAGTTC